GGCCATTTTTGGGTTGCAGCCATCATTGTTTGGCGGGACCGGGCTGGGGATTAGAACCCGGCACCTTAGGTGTATGTGGCTGGCGCCTTAGCCGCTTGAGCCACAGGCGCTGAGCCGGCCAGTCCATTTCTAATAAAAGATGATATGGCAGAGAAGGCTTGTTATGTTGTCGTCTATAATCAGTTAAGGACATTGCTGAATAGTTTTGAGATAGAATGTGCTTTCTATCCTAGACGTTTCCATTAATAAGCTTTTCCGGGAGATCTCTTACTTTGGGAAGTGTTTGTTTACCTGCTCAAGCAGAATGTCAGCATTCCCCAGAGCCATGGACCATTTTAAAGCTCCATAAGATTTCTCCAGTTACTTTCCAAACATACAATCTTATCAGATTAACAGCAGAAATTATTTCAGAGCTCTCATTAGAGTGAGAGATGTACACTTCGTGGGGGGACTGTGAACCCTAGGATTCAGAGAAAGAGGGAGGAAGTGATGGAGCCAGGAGAAGAGTCAACAAATAGAGGTGGACAGAAGCAGGCCCCCGGTCAGCGCCAGCTGCCCTACCATGCCGACAGTTAGAGAGCTAATGGCATAATTTGAGCTGGGGGAATAATGGCTGTCACTAGGTCTGAAAGAAGAACCCCAGAGCAGAGAGGAGCATGGGCACTGGAGTCAGACCTGGCTAAGACCACTTAGTATCTGTGTGACCTCAGCAAGTTACTGAGCCATAGTTTTCTTATCAGGGAAATGGGAATAATAATTGGTGAGTGGAAATAAACAGCCTACTTCATGAGGTTGTTGGGAATCCATAGGGAACCTTTGGGGTACAGTGGCTCATGTCAGAATCCCTTTATAGCTCCACAGAATGTAATCCCAGGGCCCAGGGAGGCCTGCTGTTCTACGAAATTAAACAAAGTAAATTGGTAACTCTGGATTTACTTAGCTAGTGATTAAATAACATTTTAGTTAATAGGCTGTTAATGGTCCCCAGGTGTTGGTAATTTTGAGTATTTGCTTTTGAGAGCAGTTGTATAATTTTTTCTGGTACTTCAATATATTTTTTTTTCCACAGAAAATATTCAAGTATAACAAATGATCCTCTCAGGGGCTATTTTGGGGAGGATTAATGATATAGTGCATATCGAACATTTGGTATAGTGTCTGACCCACAATAAGGGCTCAATAAAAGTTATCTGCTATTATAATATGTTTTTGCTGTTATTTGAGACTCAACTGGCCCCATTTAGACCAAGATTCTTTGTGAAACTTAGACTCCCCACAAATCCACCACCACCTGGTGGCAGCTAGTGGTACTGCACACCTTGTGGAGAAAATCATGAAATTGCTTGGAATTAATTCCATGTAATCTCCATCCTATATCACAGGGACTTTGTTCAGTCAAAGCATGTCTTATTTTCCTAAGAGCTGAAATTCATATGTAATTAATCGATGAAGTCCATACTTGGCATAGAATTAAACGAAGTGTTAATAGCAAGAGTAAATGAAGTGGGGAAATGGACATCCTCGTGTGCTGTTAGTGGAAATAGAAATTGACGTACCATTTTACAAAGACAAGTTGGTAATTAACATAAGTGTTGAGTATTTTCAAATTTTGTGGCAGGTGTTCCTCTTCTAGGACTCTCTCAAATAATAAAGATAGAAAACAAGATTTATTTAGAAAGTATATGTCTGTGTGTATACATATTATGTATAGATAATGTATATATAGAATAGCCTTACATATAACAGAACAAAAGAGGGATCATCCTTTTTTATTTATGAATCAGACTTCTCAATCCTTGTAAACAGTGATTCTTAAACAGGGCCCAAGGAAAGTAGGCATATTGTCATCTGGGGCGGAGGAGCTGGCTGAGGGAATTGGATCAGAATCTGCTCTGGGAGCTGTAAAGTTTAAGAGGATTCAGTGTACCTATTGATTTTATAATAAAAACTACAGAAAGTAAAGTTGAACATAGACATCTTGACAGATAGGGATAATATAGATGAGAAATTATACAGGGCATTTGTTAATAAATTTGTTAATAAACTAGGGGAACACTGACTTACAGGGACTAGAAGTACTGATGAAGGAAAAAAAATTAATTTGGGACCTTTGGGGATGTAGGAGCCTGGTTTGGGTGTCATAGAATGGACATTAGAACAACATGGTCAAAGCACAGGCCTGGGAATTTAGAGGTACAGGGATAAAGATAAATGCGCCTTCATTTAGCTTTGCTCTGGAACTGAAGGCCAGACCACCTTTGAAGTGTCTAAATCTCTCAATCTGATACCTGATGTGTCCAGTATGACTGTGAAGCTGGATACCTGGTATTTGGAGATACTAGTCACACTAGTACATCTTCTAACAAGTTTTGGGATGAGGTGGTGTGTAATGAGAGAACCTGATCAGGATCTACCACCCTCGTGTAAAGCCTACACTCCTTGGCCTCTATTTCAAGGCTCTATGATCTGGCCCCGTCCCCTCCAGCCTAGTCTAAAACAGACTAAAGCAACTCAACAACTACAGTAACCCCTCCCTAGGTATAGTATGTGAAGAGCTGGCTTATAAAGTATAATTTTAAATCAATGTACCACAAATTTAAAAGCCACTGCCTTCCCCCCCCCAACTTTTCATTATGGAAATTTTCAAACATACATGTATGTAAAGATTGAGAAAATAACTTAATGCATCTTTGTGTACCCATAACCTCTGATTTCAGATTGTTCAATTCTTGGCTAGTGGGACTTCTTTTGAGTTGGCTCCTAATTTTTTTGATACGGTTGTTCAGTTTTAAATGGACTGTGTCATCAGTACCTTGATGGTCGCCTATTACGGTGAAAAGTCAGAGGCTTGGAGACTATAAGAAGGACTGGCTTTTTCTGACAAGGGAAATATACAATGCTTAGTGTACTGTTGGAGTCAGTATTGCTTAGCTACGTTTTCACCTTAACATATTCGGGAGATTAATTTTATGGGAAGCTTCTTGTGATTAAAAGGTGGGAAAAGTGTGGAGTCCTAAAATGCCCGTAGGCTTCATACAGTTCACTGGAATGATATTTACTAAGCACCTGTTGTGTGAAAGATGCTGACTCAGCACTGTGGAGGTTGGCAAGGTGACTTCAGAGAGTCATGTTGGAATAATTTGGAGTCACCCAAGGTGAGAGCTGCAAGAGATAGTTGTGGAAAGATACTAAGAATACCAGACTACTAGGGTGGTTCAGCTTCTGGACTTTTCATGTTGCCACCTTCGTGGTCTTAATACAATCCACTTTACTTTTCCGACCTTTAGTTCCCACAACTCTAAAGGGGAGAATTGGATTCAACCTCTAGCATCCCCTTTTGCTTCTGAAATTGTGTAAATTATTTACACAGGATTGTGTACTTTAAAATGTGGCCCTCAGACCTCGGGGATCACAGACTCTAAACCTCTCATTTTAAAGATGAAGCTGAGATTAGTTCAGGTGCATGACCTATCCAAAGTCATAGACATAGTGATGGAAGTGTCAGGTCTTTTGGAGTGATTTCTTGTTGAATCTGACACTTGATATTATTCACATCACCCGTTATTACCTGATTAAATAGTAGCTTCCCCTGTCTTAGCTGTGATAAAACTTTGAGAAAGTTGTTTATTTTCAAAGGTGCCTTATGATTTGGAGGAATAATCAATTTCCTAACAAGAAGCAGAAAGAAATTAACAGTTCCACATAGATGGTCAACTTTTTGTTTGTTGCTCTTTATATGCCAGATACTCCCAGTATGGCTAAAAAAAAGGACCTACTAGGAAACCTACTTTGAAGTAAAACCCCATTCCTGAATATTTTCCTGAGTTCTGAATGTCAGAATTCAACATTAATGGACAAGAAAGCACTGTATTTCAGACAAAGGAGTCCAGTCAGTGATTGAGCTTAAGTGATTTGGAGGTGTGGAGGTTTTTTCTGCTGGAGTTTATAATTATTGTTTCAAACTTCCTTTTACAGGATAGCTAACGGCCAGGAGAAATAGAGTGGAAAATGCAAAACAACGAAATTATAAAACCTGCCAAATACTTCTCAGAATTGGAAAAGAGCATTTTGCTTGCTTTAGTAGAAAAGTACAAATATGTGCTGGAGTGTAAGAAAAGTGATGCACGAACTATTGCCCTCAAGCAACGTACCTGGCAAGCGCTTGCCCATGAGTACAACTCCCAGCCCAGCGTGTCACTGCGGGATTTCAAACAGCTGAAAAAGTGCTGGGAGAACATCAAGGCTCGGACCAAAAAAATTATGGCCCATGAAAGGAGAGAGAAAGGAAAACGTAGTGTCAGCCCGCTTCTGAGCACCCACGTCTTAGGGAAGGAGAAGACTGCCAACATGCTGCCGGAGCAGCTCTACTTCCTGCAGAGTCCTCCCGAGGAGGAGCCGGAGTACCACCCTGACACTGCAGCCCAAGGTATGGGTTCCTGGCGCCGGTGTGCATGCTCGCACTGGGCTCCATTCTGACATTTCCATTTAAGACCCTTCACGCCTGCAAGGCCGAGGTGGGAGGATCCCCTTGAGCTCAGGAGTTCAAGACCAGCCTGAGCACGACAGAGACCCCATCTCTACTAAAAATAGAAAAATTAGCCAGGCGTTGTGGCAGATACCTGCAGTCCCAATTGCTTAGGAGGGTCTGCCTCCAAGGCTGGGGCAGGAGGATCGCTTGAACCCAGGATTTTTTTTTTTTTTAAATTAAATGATAACTTTGTACATTGATGTATTTATGAGGTTCAGGGTACTGCTTCGATATCCAGTGTGAAATCCTTACAGTGAACTAAGTAACACATCTATCACATTGAACCCAGGATTTTGAGGTTGCTATGAGCATCAGGCCTGGAGCAAAAGAGTGAGACTCTGTCTTAAAAATAAATAAAATAAAATAAAATAAAAATCCTTCATTTTGAGGGAACTTCTAAAAAAAGAAACTTTCATGTCAAACTTGATTTTCCTAATTCAAGATCTCAGGATTATACAAGACATTGAAAATCATATAATACATAAAGATAAAAATGGTTGCTTATATCCTTATGTTCTCTGCCTTAGAGATTTCATTTTTACCTACACATAAGGAAAAATAAGGGACTGCCTTAATGGTTGTTATTAATAAGGTACACTTCAGTTCCTTTCTCAACTTGTCTCAAACATGTAGAAGGGGGATTTGATGAGGATTTGCATTCATTCACTGTCGTTCTTTTTTTCAAAAAAATATTTTTGAGGATCTATTATGTGCAGAGCACTTCATTAAGTCACTCAATGCCATTCTGAAAGAATGAACTGTTTCAAAACTTAAAAATTAAGTATAGAGAATAATATAGCAGACAATGAGTTAGTGTTTACCCAGATTAAAAACCAGTATTTCTACCCATTATAATATTGTGATCCATCGTGATTTGATTCGTGAGACTTTAGGGATCTTGAGAAATTCTGGAAAAATTAATTTTAATATGCTTCCATTGAAAAGAGAACAGTGTGTCACCCATACATTTTAGGGAAGGAAAAGACTGTCATATGATCAAGAATGCAATGATAGCTTCAGAAGGTTGAAACGGAGGGGCTATTACCAGCTCTCCAGGCCAGGGGAGGGTGGAATGCATATAGATAAATTTTCAATAATTCCTGTCTCTTTTCAGAGAGGAGTGGCCAGTTTATAGAAAGGTTCGTTGCGGTGTGTGGAGGACAGACCTTGAAGCAGAGGAAGGGCTCTGGCGGGGGCCAGAACATTGCTCAGAAGGTGCTCCAGCAAACACTTGCCCGGGAGAATCTGGTTCTTGGCTTGCAGGATGAGAAATCACTTGTCATGGTCCCCAGGTTTAGATCAAGCTCTGAGGAACTGGCTCCTGTTAATTAAAAGTTACAAGAAACTGTCTAAAACCAAGAATGGTATCTGTGTAGAGTGAAAAAGATAATCACTCAGTGAGCCAATACATGTTTTTGATTAGCACCTTCTCCCCCACCACCCGGTAGACAGATGATCTTGAGGAGCGAAATTATGATCAAAAGTTTGCTTGTGAATCATTTGACCAAGGTCAGGTCCAGGGAGCCAATTGGGTAACTGTAGCAGTTAACCTCCCTGAACCTCATGCCTCCTTCTCCACTCTAGGAGTCTTGTATTGGGTTTTGGTTCTTGAGTTCCTAAGGCAGGTACTTCCTTGCAGTGCTTGTATGGGCACTGCCAACTCTCTTTATTTCCGCTCTTCCTTGCTGCTTCTGCTAATTGACAGTGTCATTGCTTTGGAGATGTTTATAGGTTCAGCCAGTTAACACCCCATCTTGCTGGCCCTGAGCCATTCAGTTTCTAGGAGGGAGAGGTGCTGGAGGAGGGAGGGAGGCGAATCATCAGGGCTCCTTTTCACAGTGCTTGTGTGCCCTGGGAGATGTTGCGGAGGAACATGCTGGTGTGAACTGCTTTCCGTTCACTTTGCGAATCTGTGGTCTGGATTATTGCGCTTTGATTTAGTGGGATTCTTCTTAGGGCTTGGACAGTCTTATTTCCCCATTTTCAAATTCTAAGGTAGGATCTAGAAAATTCATCTCACATTTTTTTTCTCTTTCTTTTTGGGAAAGATGTAATTCATTAAATCATAAACACAATTTATGAACTTCCAGAAAGAAGGGAATGAATATGAATTCTCAGTGGCTTTGCTGGAGGGACATTTATTAGAGACTCATTGTAAAAGAAATTTATTTCAAATTGGATGTTTGTACATATTTGACACTGGAGATTTCCCTTTTGCTGGTGATAATTAAAGTTCAGCCAAATACTGCCTACTTCTGTGTCTAGGTTGTTTCTGAAGGGCAGTGGGGGACTGCGCTTTGTCAGTTAGGAAGTATGTCCAGAGTCATCTGTTAATACTGGTAGTTAAGGTACTAGAACTCTTTCTGTACACCAAAACAGCCTTGACTTCATTTCACTCATTTCACATTTCAGTTTTCTTGAAAAAAGAAAAAGAAGGCTGGAATTGTCACTCATTACTTCTGGGACTTGGTGGAGGAAAAAAAGACTGAAAATCTGCTACAGGGTCCTGGCCCTGATACATCGTGTGTATTTGACAGATGGACTGTGTGTGTGTGTTTTACTTTTGTTTTTATAACACTGTGCTGTTCAGTATAGTAGCCATAAGCCACATGGGGCTAATAAACACTTGAAATGTAGGTAGACAAAAGTGAGATGTGCTGTATCGTACATAATATATTTTGAAGACTTAGACCAAAAAAAAAAAAATTTCATTCATCCTTTTTATGTTGATTACATATTAATATTTTAGATATATTGGATTAAAAAGTGTATTTCCAAAATTACTTTTACCTATTTCTTTTACTTTTGTAATGTGGCTGTAAGTACACTTAAAATCGTATAAATAGCTTGTGGGGGTTTTTTTGTTTTTTATTTTTTTGAGACACAGTCTCACTACTACCCTTGGTAGAGTGCTGTGACATCACAGCTCACAGCAACATCAGACTCTTGAGCTTAAGCGATTCTCTTGCCCCAGCCTCCAAGTAGTGGGGCTATAGGCGCCCACCACAATGCCCAGCTATTTTTTAGAGATGAGGTCTTGCTCTGGTTTACGGTGGTCTCAAACTCAGGAGCTCAGGCAAACCACCCACCTTGGCCTCCCAGAGTGCTAGGATTGTAGGCATGAGCCACTGTGCTGGCCCCCTTGTGTTACTTTTTTATTGGACAACACTGTTTCAGCATCTTATAAGGTGTCTGTTACAGAATTAGGTACCCAGAAATTTGTTGGAATTTATTTCAAAACTGTTAAACTGGGTGGCGCCTGTGGCTCAAAGGAGTAGGGTGCTGGCCCATATGCCGGAGGTGGCGGGTTCAAACCCAGCCCCGGTCAAAAACTGCAAAAAAAAAAAACCTGTTAAACAGAAAGGAGCCTAGTAGTATTCCACTAGAGGCCTCCCTCCAGCTACTTTTTGGTGTCATCTCCATCACTATGCCCTGGGTATTCTTAGCTTTGTCGATGACTTTCTTAAAGTATACACCTGTATTTAGACTCAGTGGTCTTAAAATTTAAGTATAACAGTTGAGATAGTGTTTATTTAAAAAAAAAACAGTATTTCCCCCTTTCATATATTAAAACAGTTTACAGGCTTAGCGCCTGTGGCTCAAGTGGCTAAGGCAGCAGCTACAGACACCTAAAGGTAGAGGGTTTGAATCCAGCCCAACCCACCAAACAATGATGGCTGCAACCAAAAAAAAAATAAAAAATAGCCGGGTGTTGTGGCAGGCGCCTGTGGTCCCAGCTACTTGGGAGACTGCTAAGGCAAGAGACTCGCTTGAGCCTAGGAGTTGGAAGTTGCTATGAGCTGAGATGCCACGACATTCTACCCAGGGTGACAGCTTGAGGCTCTGCTTCAAAAAAAAAAAAAACAAAAAAACAGTTTACACTTTGTGGATTTTATTTTAAGCTAATTTGGCCTTCATTCTTATCCTCCATTATCTTTGGGGAATAGGGGTGCAGAATAAATAAACCAAGGAAGCCAACACAATTTGCTAGGAGTGGCTAGTGGGGTAGGAAGACCCAAGGTCAAATACATTTGAGAAAACTAAGCTTTGGAGTAACACGGAAATGTTTCAGAATTCATGAAAATTTCAATGCTATTATTTCTGTGCCATAAAGCTCTAATTGAATAGTATGAACATTTCTTTAAAAATTACATTATTATCTCTGTTTAACTGAATCTTATTCTTTTGGGGTAGGAACCCAGGTACTGAGGGCCGAGTTCTGTTTCCAGTCATGGCACACCAGCCTCACTGGTCTGTGAAAAGCCCCTATTTTGTGTTAGTTATTTGCTTATTCCCTTTTTATCCCCATTCTCCACTTTAATTCTCTTCTGCGCCTGAATCATTCTAGTGGGCTAGTATATTCTCTCACATGTTCTGTGTACATATATTCATTTAGATGGATTTAAAATCATTCTATAATTATCTTTTTTTCTGCTTTTTTCACATACAGTAATGCTTTTAAGATCAATTTTGCAGTACGTAAAGCTGTTCCTTTTAGCTAATCTATTACATTCTGTAATATGTATCTACACGTCTAATTTGTTCGTTTTCCTAGTTAGTCCTATTTCCTGTGTTCTGTTGAGAGGAGCTGGAGTTTGGCCTCTACACGGTTTCCTTCCCATCCTTTTGCTGCCATGGTACGCTTTTTCTGCTGATATTGAAATTCTTTCCATTGCCCAAGGGAAAGAACATTTCCTTGGCTATGTTCTCTGGTTCCAGGAAAGCTTGTGGGCCTTCCTACCCTTTTTGCATAAGATTGAGTTGTTTTCTACTTCAGGTGGTTTGTTTCACCTGTGAGAGGGATTACACGGTATGTGTTGGCAGCAGGGTGCTATTCCCAGACCAGTTTTCTTCCAATTAAGCCAAGATTCTTCCCTTCTGAATACTAGCTTCTGTTCATTGGACCTAATATTTGTGTGAATGTTAATTAACTGTTCCATTGGGCTTCTGTAGTTTTCAGCCCCATCTTTTGCCAGAGTCTTCTCAAAAAGCCTGGCATTTTTCCTTTAAAATTTGTCTATTAGTACACGTTTAAACCAAAAAGAATAGTTTGAAAGTAGATAAAGTTGTGTTCCTGGACACAAACACACTGTCTTAATGTTCATGGCTCTAGAAATTTGGAGATCAAAATGCAGACTGTATGCCCATATTCTTAATAATAGATGGTTTTATAGTGGATACAATTTGGAGGCTGCATTTTTAAATACATAAATGGTCAGCTGAACAAGTGGAATGGTGGCAGACTGGGTATTGTAGTGGTTGAGCTTGGGTGTTAGAGTCATGCAGATTTGGATTAGAATCCTATTTCTTTCAACTAGCCAAATGACCTTGGACATTGTATTTGATTTTCTATAATAATTCCCTTCTCAGAGGGTTGATAGAAGGATTAGATGAGGTAATGCTTTAAAGCACCAGCCTCGTACTTGGTTAGCTGCCCAGAAAATGGTAGCTACTGTTATCATCACCATCAGATCCCTAAAGCCTGGAATTGTTGAGATAAAAATGAGCATTTGGAAATTGGGAGAGACAGCATTGTGAAGGGATGAACATTAAGGACTCAGAGTATCCAGGACTATGCCCTGGAATGAAATTTAAAAAGAAAAAGAGAGCAGAAGTATCAGAAATTGTCTAATGTGTCTAGTCTTCAGAAAAGATGTCAGATCTAAAACTAGAAAGTAAACAGGTCAGGTAAAGCTCTTCATAGTTGACTCTCACACCTGAGGGTCTCTCGCCTCAGTCTCACCCCTGCCCATTTCTTGGTCCTGTGCCTCAGTTACCCAACTCAGAGCCCCACTCTTTCTCTGTAGTTGGGCTGCAGTGGGAGGGAGGTGGCCCACTGCAGATGTCCTGCCCACACACATCTCTCACATGCCCCGCACTGGACCATCGCCTGGGCTGAGTTCTCCACGGGGATGAAGATGAAGCAGTCTCTGCCAGACGTATGATGAACTCTGCCAGAGATGGGCCCAAGAGGCCAAGGGAGCATGAAAACAACATCGAGTTGAGACCAGAGCCACTGGGGTTGGGGAAGACTCCCGGCGAGACACTTTTTCCTTATCTCTGGATGGCACAGAAGTATTCTTCTATCTTTCTTAATCTCTTCCAAAAGTAAAATTTTTTACCTTTTCTTTAATCTTAATTAGGAACTAGTTATAGTTGTCCTTACCCCTCAGAGTGAAATAATTAAACAGTAGCTATTTTCCGTTTATTACCGGTGTATTACAAATTAGGTTTCCCCCAGTAGCCATTAACCTTCCAGGCGTCTCATTTTCCAGAGTAATGGAGTGGATGTAATAATGTAATCAATGCTATTAATAAATTGATACTGTTTTTCTCCAAGGAAAAGATTCTCATTATTGGGAATGTAAAGCTTCTCAAGAAAGCCTTAGAGTCCCAGCTAGAAGACCCCATGGGTTAGTGGAGTTAGTGGTTTCCTTATTGCAAGTCCCTAGTGTACCCACCAGAGTGATAGCCTTTTGCACTCATATATTCTTTTTCTTTTGTGTTCAAGGGTTCAGCCAATAAATATTTACTAGGCTTCCTCTGTGTAACAAGCAAAGTGACTGGAACCCAAGGATAAAAGAAACAAATAAGTAATGGTGGCGCTATGCTAGTGGGTGTTAAGTGTTATAACCAAAGCAACTCGGGCATACAGAGAAGGGAGAGAGCTAAGGTCTTATAGACAAGTGCATTGGTCCTGAATATGTAGGCGAGGGGTGCTGAGAAAGGAAGACTGGAATGAGTTTGGGGGACAGATAATCCACGCAGAAAGAACAGTGAGACACAGAGTTATAAACAAAGCATGACCTTTTAAAGAATGTGAGTAGTCTGTGGTAGGATTAGAGGGTATATGAGAGTATATGAGGGTATTTTGAAGAGTAAGGCAAGATAGATAAAGGTAAGTTGGAGCCAGGTTTTGCTTAGGTGGGTTGAGAGCCAGGGATGGGAACCCCAGAGAGAACAGGTGACAGGGAGAAATGGTTAACAGGTGAGTGGAGCAGGAGTCTGAGTACATGGAAACTCAAGAAGAAGCAATCAGAAAGGAAGCTGTAGAATAGTAGAAAGTGATGGTTCAGAAGCTAACAGAAAAGAAATTTCAAGAAAGATTTTCAAATGGCAGGGAAGAATTAAAAGGGGCATTGAAAAGCACCCTTGGTGTCAGGTGACCATTGACCCCAAATGGCTGTGCTGGAAGTAACAGACAGATGCAAGAGATTAAGGAGAAATGGTGGCTGGGCGCCTATAGCTCAACCGGCTAGGGCGCCAGCCACGTACACCTAAGGTGGCGGGTTCGAATCCCCAGCCCGGACCCACCAAACAACAATGATGGCTGCAACCAAAAAATAGCCGGGCGTTGTGGCGGGCGCCTGTGGTCCCAGCTACTTGGGAGGCTGAGGCAGGAGACTCGCTTGAGCCCAGGAGTTGGAGGTTGCTGTGAGCTGTAATGCCATGGCACTCTACCCAGGGGAACAGCTTGAGGCTCGGTCTCAAAAAAAAAACATAATAATAATAATAAAGAGAAATGGTATGTGAGGATGTTAAGCCAGGGCGTGCAGACAGACTCATCTTTGAAAGAAGAACATCTTTGTCCAGGGTAAGGAGTAACACCTGCAGCTAGGATACAGCAGTGGCCCTCTGGCGAAGATTGAACATAAGCGTTTGTGGTTGAACGAGAAACTGACAGAGAGGGTGATCCAGCCAACACTGGCTTCGCTTTGTGGTCTTATGCTCATCAGAGTCAGGCACATTTTAGTTTAGAATTTATATCAACAAGGTCTGCAGTTCTTAATTAAGTGTGGCCTCTGACCACACAGGTCCCATACTTAAAAGTTCTAGAGATGCCAGTGAAGCCCCTTATTATAATTTCTTAAGGAATTATCTCTTTTAACTTACAGGTTTTTAAAAAGTCAAGTGTGGCAAGGGTACCTGTAGATGCGAAGGCTGGAGCAGACACTATTTTAGATACATACTGTAATGAGGGGCCCTGTCATTTGAAATAGGATTGATTTTTTTTTTCTCTGCTTGTAAAATCTTTGAACGTATGTTTTCTGCTGTTTTTCAGAATCATTTGCTGTTTCAAATAGAGAACTGTGCGATGATGAGAAAGAGTTCGTTCATTTTCCAGTATGTGAGGGGACCTCTCAACCTGAACCCTCGTGTTCAGCTGTCAGAATAACAGCCAATAAAAACTACAGGAGCAAAACTTCTCAGGAAGGTGCTTTAAAAAAGATGCATGAGGAAGAACACCATCAACAAATGTCCATCTTACAACTGCAACTGATACAAATGAATGAGGTGCATGTGGCCAAAATCCAGCAGATAGAGCGAGAGTGTGAGATGGCAGAGGAGGAACACAGGATAAAAATGGAAGTTCTCAATAAAAAGAAGATGTATTGGGAAAGAAAGCTACAAACTTTTACCAAGGAATGGCCTGTTTCCTCATTTAACCGGCCCTTTCCCAATTCACCGTAAGACTTTGGGGGTGGCTCTCTTGTAATTAATCTGTGTTGGCAAAGAAAGTCTGGAACATGAATTCACGGTCAGCAACCTGTAACAGAGCTACAACTAGGAAAATTAGAGTGGTAATAGTCACTTATTTAAGAATACATTCAGGTAAACAGCTGCACCCTATTTACCCCTTAAGTGGCAAAGAAGCTGTTATAGTCTTCTGAAAATTATCACTATGAGTGCTATAATTCTGAATGTAATGTCTCTTAATTAGAATTCATACAAGAACCATGTGTGAGTGTTGTCGTTGTATTTTTTTTTTTTTAAATCAAACGCAAGGGTGACTATAAAGGAGTGTGGCTGATTTTTTTTTTTTTTTTAAACAGCAGAACTTTTCTATCCAAATGAATGCCCTTCCATCCAAATCAGCTGTCCTGGGAGGCCACACAGGTCTCCAGTGGTGATGCTGTTGCTCAGAACTTGCTAGAGGTCTTTAGGGAACCCCCCTTGAGAGCCACAGCACCTTTTTCACTTTTTGGGTGCCATCCTCTGGGTGTGGATTTTCTGTTTTTTCAACTGCCCAACATTTAGAAGGGTATTTTCTAATGTGAATCCTAAACTGCCTTTTCAGGCCTTTCCCCAAAGAGGAGTTCCAAATAATGTCTCCAACCATGGTAGCTTTGTTGGAACTAAGGGTGTGACTACTTTGAAGAAGAAATGTTTGTTTAGATTTCTACATTCTGTTATGTTTGCTTTATTAAAAAAAAGACTTGCAATTTTATAGTCACACTGTGTTATGATTTTTAAAGGTGTTGTCTTCCTCTGTAGCGTCCTGCCAACTATGTACATCTAAGTTCATGGTTTTCAGTCTTTAGCCACCTAAGGAGAGGCCCTTCCCTCACTGTGCTCCTGGTGTTAGCCAATAGTATCACCTTGTGGTTGGCATTAGTTGGGCTTTGTAGGAGTCCATTACAACATACTTGGAGATAGGGATTGATAAATGGATGTCTTAGTTGAGCTGTTAATACAGCTGCTTCTGCAGCCTAATGTCAGAAACAACCCTGGGAGCTGGGGACAGCAGTAGCTGGAAGCAGCAGAGTGACACTTAAGTGTCAATGCAGATCAGCTATGTCTGAGAATGAGATTTCAAGGCTGTGAGGTCAAGGCTGTACTTCAAGGAGGAGTACATGTTGCAGACTTTTATACAGAGTTTATATAAAAGATCCTCTCCATAAAGGATGGGGAGTCAGGACCTGAATTTTAACCTTGGCTCTGCCTCAACTTGGTTTGTGACCGTGAGTAACTCCTTTTAATCCTTGGCATGGTATTTCCTGTCCATGAAACGGGAGTTGGGCTAGATAATGTTCAAAGTCTGCTCCAATTCTTTGACTGTGGTGTGGTCTGTACAGTGTTGGGTGAGTACTGCCTACACATGAGAGTTGTCTGGAGGGCAGGAGTCAATAGGAAGAGAAGCTTTACTGCAATGGCTGAGCTTCTCTCCTTTATAATTTCGGAATTTGGGTCCTGAGGACTGTAAGTTCAGTAAGGTACAGATACACTTGCTATTTATGTACTGCATAAAACTTAAATGGATATGAATCTATTTTATACACTGAGTCATATTTTAAATATCTTAGAGGAACTGGTTATTTGAAGGAACCCTGTGAACACTAGTCTCCTGTGAAAGGAAGGATTCTTTTGTAAGGATTTATGTTCTTAATTTAGTTTTTACCAAATGGACCTTTTAGAGAATGAAGCGTCTGGATGAAATCCAAGCTTCAGTGGTTTGTGGAAGACAGAACCTGACTTCGCACGCTTGCCTACCCCCTTCAGGATTAGGACAGGGAACAGCAGGCCCTAAATAGACATATGCACTGAGAAAAAAGATTGCCTTTGCTTCACCTAGTGATCATGTAAAACTCTCCGTAGCATGCAAATTCTGGAAAGGGCCCTGAGATTCGGCACCACACAAGCTCCCAGTTTGTGCCAGTTCTGTTTGTCTGGTCACCACACTTCTGAGCAGCAAGATTCTAGAGGACCCTATGAAGTTTTTATTTATTAGTCTCAAAAAATTGGGGGTTAGTTGTTTACAGTGGTGCTACGTATTATTCCAGAATTTATGACTTAACCACACAAACAACAATGTAGAACAACACAAAAAATGTGCACACAGAAGTATATTTTAGTGGAAATATAAAAGCATCGAGCTAATTCCTAACTGAATAAATAAAGGATAATTAAACCAGCAGCCTAAAGCTGCTCTACTGTTAATGGTATTTATGAGTTTATAACAGTAGTTTCAACCTTGGCTATGCATTAGAAACAGTATTTTATAAGTAATTAGTCCCGCTGGGTCTCACTTCCAGAGGACTCTGATTCAATTGGGCTGGGTTGAGGCCTTGGCCTATGTATTTTTCAGGAGCTTTAGAGGGGATTATGGTGCATAATTGGGGTTGAAAACCACTGAGGTTCATAAACGTGTCTCATTTGATTCTTAATCCTGTGAGGCCATGCAGTAGTAAGGAAATGATGTTCAGAGAATCACTACTTGTTGCCAACTAGTAAATGGCAAAGAACAACCTTGGTCCCAAGCTTCTTGATTCCAGATAGCCCTACCTGCCTGCCCTTGACGCATTCCTTGAAGCTCTATGATGAACTTGTTTTATCCTGAGCGCCACATCACATTACAGAGAACTTGTTCTTGTATCTCCATTTCAATTTTGACAGTTTCTTACCTGAGGTGGAAAAGCAATAACTGTTTCCTGGTAGGTGCTATAGGAAATACAGTGGTAAATATTAAGACACGGTTCACCATCTTCTACCCTGCCAAGTTACGGACACAGCACAGTAAGGGAGATAAGGCTTGTACACAGCTGCTGTCATGTACTTGATGGGCGCTTGTCTTCAAGTACAAGGAGAGAGGTAAGAAGCTTGAAGGAAGGCCTCCTGGGAGAGGCGGCATTGGAATGAAGTCTTTAGAATTAGCATTTTGGGGCTCGGTGCCTATAGCTCAACCTGCTAAGGCGCCAGCCACGTACACCTAAGGTGGCGGGTTCGAATCCCCAGCCCGGACCCGCCAAACAACAATG